GTAAAGAAAACAAAAATCCTTACCACTGGACCAATAAACAACATTCTTATCAACAGAGAAAAGATTGAAGTTGTCAAGGACTTCGTTCTTCTTGGATGAACTATCAACACTCGTGGAAGCAGCAGTCAAGAAATCAAACGACGTATTGCATTGGGCAAATCTGCTGCACAGGACCTTTTTAAAGTGTTGAAGAGCAAAGTACTGAATGTATGCCTTCAAAGTGCTTATATAAAAGTCATAGAGTAAATAGACAACTTTGTATTGTTTCGTTGTTAGGTGCTGCTGTGTCAGTTTCAACTCATAGTGACCCTGTATAACGTTTACTAGGAGCAGTTGGTGAATTTCAACCACCAACCTTGTGGTTCAAACTGATCTTGTGGTCCAGTGTTTATCCTACAGTGCCACACCAGGACTTCATATAGACAAGAACTATGTGGCATTGTAAGATAAACACTTGACTGCAAGAAAGGTTTGAACCACAAGGTTGGTGATTCAAATCTGTGAGCTGCTTCTTGGGAACCCTATACAGAGTCACTGTGAGTTGGAATCGACTCAATGGCACTTAACAACAACAAAAATTTTTATACTCCGAAATGGTTATGTGGCTGGGCACACAGCTTGATACCAACAAGTGTTTGCTAAGTGAAATATAATGAGGTGGAAATTTAGCAACTGATGTTTCTTTGCACATGGATAGACCCATCATGGGATAATTTAGTCCCAAGAAACCCAATGTATTGGGTTTATGTGAATCAAGACTCTGTGTTGCACCCACGCAGGCTCCGAGAGCTCTGGCAGACAGAGGGGAAATGTGAGTAGGGACCTGCCAGTGGAGGAGTCTGCAGCGCTGTGGGCCCACCTGTCCCTGGAGCCGAGCACTCACTCACCCTGTTGTCTTCAGGAGTAGGAGGAAGAGGCTTCTTTGAAGCTGAAACAAGAAAAACAGAAAAAGAAAATGAGCATGAAAGTAACCGAGCCCAGCCGGAGGTGAGCAGCCAGGGGGCTTTTCAGAGAAAAGGTGCCCCAAAGAGGATAACTGTACAAAATTGGTTAGAAGGAGATGATGAGACACACAAAAAAACAAAATCAGAATTACTAGAACATGTGTTTTATTTTGTTCAGCCTGCTGGTTTCTGATTCCCTTTTCTAGGAGATATGAAAAACCTCAAGATGTCAGCATTCTGGGTACCCCAGGAAAAGTCTAAGCCAGAGGGTCTGACAGAGGGGTGGAGTTTGTGCCTTCCTGTAGATGCATAGACTTCCACAAATGTCCCTGGCACCTGCTAAACCCAGGAGTAGGTATCAATGACTCAAGGGGACAGTGACTCACTGGCTTCCCGGTGCTGTTGTGGCTTGAGGAGGGGGTGGAAGAGGTGGCAGGCCATCACACTGTTTTTTGAGAGGGTGGGATCCATTTGTAGTTTCTGTAGATATCTGCTCTGTAGGATAATCACTGGACTGTGAGCTACAAGGTTGGGGGTTGGAACCCACCAGCTGCTCCTGGGAGAATGATGAGACTTTTTGCTCCTGTAAAGATTTGCAGCCTCTGAAACCGTATACAGGGTCACTATGAATTGGAACCAACTGGAAGGCACTTAACAACATCAGACGTGAATATGTATTCCTGCTGCCTCCATGCAAACAAACCCCAGCAACACGTCTCCCTCTGTCTCTCCATCTCTCTTTATCTCTTCTCATATTCTTCCCCCATTTCTTCTTTCTCTGTTTCCCTACTTTCTCCTCCCTTCTGTCTCTCTCCTCACTTTGCTCTCTCCTTCTCATATCTTCTTCTCAGTCTCTCTAGTTTTCATTCGTGGCACTGAAAAGGACAAACCTGGAATTAATGGACCAAAGGTTTGTGTAAGTGGGCCTGGGGGGCAATGCACAGACTCTGGATTAAGGCACCTTTAATTATTACAGATAGCAAGGGGATGGACTACAAAGATACACAGTGAGCATGTCTGGGCATGTGGTTAACTTGAAGTTAGACAGTCCATGTCAGAATGGGACAGAGAAGGTTCTTGATTTGAAACTGGAGCCCAGTCCCTGTGCTAACTCTTATGTAAGGCAAAATGGACTATTGACTTGGGTATGCAATTAACAAATAAGGATAGAAAGGAAAACTCACATTATAGAAAATATGGTTCCTAGTCAACACTAATTTGGAGCTAGGAGGCTAGTGTTCTGATCCCAGCTCTACCACATACGAGTCGTGTGGCCTTGGGCCCTTTCCAACCTTGTACAATTTCTGACTCTTATCCTTTTTCCTTTGGCCTTGCTCTTCCCCTTCATTGTCTGCCTCTGTGAGGAATTAGTACATGGTAAGGATCAGGACTTATTATCAGGAGGGGCCAGTCACTGGAGAAAGATATCATGACTGGTAAAGTGGAGGGTTCAAAAAAAAAAAAAAGCAAGACCCCCAATGAGGTGAATTGGCAGAGTGGTAGCAGCGGTGAGCTCAGGTGTAGAAACAATTGTGAGGTTGGCCCAGGACTGGACAGTGTTTCATTCTGTTGTGCAAAAAGTCGCTATGAGTCGGTACCGACTCCATGGCACCTAACAACAACAATGAAGGATCAGAGCCACTTCTCACCACAGAAATGGGTGTTGCTGTAGGCTGAGTGTAGGAGGGCCCATTTTTGTTCAACCACCTCCACTGTTTCCCAAACCACATAACCACCTCCTGACTTACATACATGCCGGTAGCACTAATCTGAGCCTCAGATTCTCCTGTCCAGAATAACACGAGTAGACACAATGAGCATTTATCAAGAGCTCATTAAGTGCCAGCAGCTATACTAAGAGCATTCCATAAATCAGCTGACTCGCCTTGCAATCTCCATGAAGTAGCTATTGATCATTACCTCCATTTTACAGATGAGGAAAGTGACTCAAAGTCTCAGAGAACTTACATAACATATCTGAAGTTACAGAACAAGAAAGTGATGGGTTGGGTTTCATATATTCTTAACTCTGAAGCTCTGTGCTCTTAGACCCTGTCCTGTACGTGAACCCAACACCAGGACTCCTACAGGCTTTTACCCAGAGTAGACGAAGCAGCAGAACAGTGCTCACAGCTAGCTCAATGTACTTCTTGAAACGCTGCTCCAAAAGATGTCAGAACTGTGCTGTGTGGAGTTCTTTAAGCCATGTTGAAGAGAGTAGAATGAGGAGAGGTTCAGAGGAGGAAATGGCAGAGTGTTGCAATGCAAGAGCAGGACCATTAGCTGAGCAAATGCACGGTGTCCCCCCAGAAATGTATCCCCCCATTTAGGTCCTGGGATCATGTGGGGAGGAATTCAGTATGACCAGTCCCTGCCTTCTTTAAAAGTAGTCCTGGTGAGCGATTCAGATGTTCCTAACACTTCAATCATGTGTCCACCACTCAGTGCAGGGAAATACTGGGTAACATCAAGAGGAAAAACTACAATATGAATCGTGAAAATTGCCAAATGGAAACACAGATTCAAAGAGCTTCAGAATTGAAAGGGAATTTATAGTTTATTTCATGCTAGTCTTCCTAAAACCTCCCCTACACCATTGTAGAGATGAGGACATTAGAGCCAAGTGACTTACAAGTGGTCACATAGCAAGGTGCTGGAATTTGAAGACCAGACCTCTGGCTTTGGAAAGGGTCTTTCATTCATGAGGACAAGCTCATGCCATTTTATTATTGCGGTGGACTCCACCCCTATAAAACCTCCCATTTCTTTTTCATGAAACGCTGGTCTTCATAAACTAGGCAAGGTCAATAGGGCTAATGCAGGGATGGCTGCCTTCAAGAACTTGTTACATATTATCCATCTGGGCCAAGGGACTGGAAGATTTGAGTGACTTTCTCTCCCCAGCTGGAGGGTGAGAGTGGTGGTTTTTAAAGTATGACTGAGAAGGGCTGTGACTCAGGAAGCCGCAGAAAACCAGGCCATGTGTTACATTTAGCACATCTGCTGAGGACTGTCCATCAGGTGTATTAAGTTTTAGTGCAAAAAACCAATAGACAGAAAATAAAAGGTAATTTGGGAAGCAGAGGTTGAGGGAATGCAAGGAAAATAATCAACATGGGTCCTCATTCCTATTGGCCACTGACTTTGCAGAATGCTTCCCAGCTATGTGGCCTTGAGCAGACTGACCTGCTTCAGGCTTCCTTCTCTTCAACATCATGGCAGTTTTCCTGAGAGCATAATGCAGGTAAAGGTGCATAACAGTGGTGGGGCACTTTATTAGGAGGTGGAACCTTTTGAGGTTCCAAGGTCAGCACAGCAATTGAGTTGGGCTTAAATTCCCAGGCCCTGAGTCTTTGACCTCAAGAAAAGTTGTTGACCTCAAGAAACAACTTTAGTTTTTACTTTGCATTTAGACTCTGGTCTCCTTTTCTCTGAGACTGTAGAGAAAGTCTGGCCTTAGGGCCATATAAGGCCTGATAAATCATGTAGTCTGCCCCTGCCAAGGCAACCACAATTCTAGCCATCACTTTGTAGCTGGAAATTGGTTCTGACTCATTGCAACCCTGTGTAGGGTTTCTGAGGAGTGACTGGTGAGTTTGAACTACTGACCTTGTGGTTCAAACTAATTCAGTCCTGCACATTGTCCCTCAGCGCCAGGACTCCAGCTGTCATATTGTTGTTGGTAAGTGCTCTTAAATCGATTCCGACCTATAGTGACGCTGTATAGAGTTTCCGAGGAGCAGCTGGTGAGTTTGAACTGCCGACCTTGCAGTTCAAACAGCTTTGCTGTCTGGCGCATTAACCCACAGCACCACACCAGGACTCTGCTATCATATTAGTGTTAAGCTAATTAAATGTTTGTCCAAATACAGTAGCCTAATTTTTAAGTTGATAATTTTGTATGGCTCGCAGATGATGTCATAAATATCCAAATGATCCTTGGCAGAGAAAAGGTTCCCCATCCCTTCTGTAGAAGGAGAGGATGAGTTTGAAGGGGAAGTTGGATAAAATAATTGTTTTATTTTGTTTTTTACTTCCTTTCCTATCCTCTATTCCCCAAGTGGATAAAGTTTAATTCATGTATTTAAACATATAAATGATGTAATATCACTATGACTGAATAGTATTATGTGCCATAAAGTCTGTTTCTAATATCAATACCAGTTGGTTGAACTGTGGTGGTTTGCATGTTGCTATCATGCTGAAAGCTAAGGATTCCTCATGGTATGGCGGACAGGTTTTAGCAGAGCTACGACACTAAGACACACTAGGAAGAAAGACCTAGAGACTCACTTCCAAAAATCATCACACAGAAACCTGATGGATCACAACAAAACATTGTTTGATAGAGTGCTAGAAAATGAATATCCTAAGCACTCAAAATATAAAGTGGCTGCAACAATGAACTCACGCAATACCAATTGTTAAGATGGTATAAGACAAGGCAATGTTTGGTTCTATTATATGTGGGTTGTCACGTGCTGGAGATGATTTGATGCCATGTTAGATGGTGTGGCGTATGCAGATAATGGCATCCTGATGTGGATAAGTCAGTGGTTCAAACTCAGCAGCCATTCCCTAGAAACACTGTGAGTCAGTATGAGTCAGAACCAACTCACTATCACTTTACAACAACAACAACTACAATAATACAAGAGGATTCAGAAAGTTCATAAAATAAAAACAGAATGAAAAGAGAATGGAATTTTTCCATGAACTTTTTGAAGCCCCCACATACTTCAATACTGCTATTCACATTTCCTAACATGATGAGGGTGGTAGCAGTGCTTTTCAAGCTTTGCAGTGCACACTAATCTGGTGATTTTGTGAAATTATGAATTCAGATCCAGTATGTCTAGGCGAGATCAGAGCATTTACATTTCTAAGTAGCTTCCAGGCCTTCTGGTCTGGGACCATGCTTTTCAGCTTTGAGATGAAAAATTAAAAAACACAAACCAACTGGTGTTAGAAGCAGATGCTTTCCCTCTGGAAATTCTGATATCCCGGAGTTTTCTATTCAACTCCTGACACTCTAGTGAGCTTTCATAACCTACCAGTCATTTCAAAAAGAAGAAAGGGACTCCCCCAGTTTCTTACAATTCTTGACAGGGTCGTACTCAGCACAGCCTGTGGCATGTTTCTCCAGTTGGGCGCAGCACCTCCACCTGCCGTCTATCCAGAAGTTAGGATGATACTTGGAGACCAAAGTGTTGTTGTTCCTTGTTTCTGGAAGGGATTGGCACCAAAAGAAATATTATTTCTTGGTTGGTCTATCAAGACACCAACTTTAGAACTCTCTGCTATATGATCTGGGTGTTTATTAGTTGGAATAGTCAGGAACTTGGCTTTTTAGCAGGGCACCCAACCTTTTTGTGTTGCTTACTGAAGTGTATACGTTAGAACTAGGCATTAGCAGATACGCGTTTGTTTGACTCTGCCTCATTTACCTGTAGGTTTCTCCACTATGCAGTGAGGGTCACTGGTTTAGTGGGCCCCACAGCAGTGCTTCAGGGGCAATGGGAAGTCCAAGTCTGTGGGATTCTGGCACTTCTACCTTTCCCACCTTCAACCACAGGAAGCTGACTTTTGTACCTTCTAGAGTTGTGGCTTTGACGTAAGACCAAAGTTGTTGTTGTAAGTGCCATCGAGTCAGTTCCGACTCATAGCGAACCTGTGTAGGGTTTCCAAGGAGAAGCTGGCAAGCTTAAACTGCTGACTGTGTAGTTCAAACTGATCTTGCAGTCCAGTGTTTATCCTACAGTGCCACACCAGGACTCCAAGATTTTAGTAAGGGGAGTGGGAAAGAGGGCTCTGGTAGTGCAGTGGATTATGAACTGAGCTGCTTACCACAGGGTCAGTATTTGAATTTGCCAGTTGCCCTGCTGGAGAAAGATAAGACTTTCTGCTCCCATGAAGATTTACAGCCTAAGAAACCCTAGGTAGGGTCGCTCTGAATCGGAATTCACTACATGGCACACAACCAACACCAGCTGCTGATTAAAAAAAGATTATCTATATATATATGCTGTTGTTGTTGTTATGTGCTGTCGAGTAGGTTCTGACCCATAGCAACCCTGTATAGGGCTTCTGAGGAGCAGCTGGTGAGCTTGAACCACCAATCTTGCAGTTCAAACGGCTTTGCAGCCTGTTGCATTAACCCACGATGCCATTGTCGTTAGGTGCCATCAAATCGGTTCTGGCTCATAGCTACCCTGTATAGGGCTTTTCCAGGAGCGGCTGGTGAGTTTAAACTGCTGACCTTGTGGTTCAAACCAACCTTGTTGTCCGGTGCTTTACTCCAAAGTGCCACACCAGGACTCCATATACCTATACATATACATCTATACCTATACATGGATTCCTGGTTCAAGCTCACCAGCTTCTCCTCGAAAACCCTATAGAGGGTCGCTATGGGTCAGAATCTACTCGATGGCACTTAACAACAACATATATGTATAGATACATAACCCATAGAATTAGCTAGTTAATTTCTGTTGCTCCTTCCAGCTTTACTATCCTATGAGTTAAAGCCCTACATAGAGGTAGGACAGCCAATGGAATTGTTGGCTAGGACAGTGTATAGATAAGGCCCTATGATTACATTTTACTTTAATGTGTTTTTTTATGCTCCATGCTTGCTATGTTTGAGTGCTACTTCTAGTTTACCCAGCATTGTCTGTCTGGACCCCACTGGAAACAAGAACTGTGGAAGAAGCTAGGATTTAGATTTGTATTCTGATTTTTTCAGAAAGAGTTATTGTTACTTCAGAGATTTCAGATGGCTTGCTTTCCCTTACCTATTTACTTTGTTGTTGTCAGCTATCACAGAGTTGTTGTTGTTGTTGTTAAGTGCTATCAAGTTGGTTCCAACCCATAGCAACGCTGTATAGGGTTTCCAAGGAAACGCTGATGAGCTTGAACCACTGACCTTGAAGTTCAAACGACTTTGCAGTATTGCACATTAACCCTCAATGCCACACCAGGACTCCTCATCATGGTGTAGTGGCAGGTTAATGTTAGAACCCACTTCTGGCAAATCCAGTGCTAAACAGAAGTAACAGTGATACTGATTTCTTGGGCATAGATGTTGTTCTAAGTGTCTTAGATGTACTGACTCATTTAATTCTCACAGAAACCTTATTCACTTATATGTTGTTGTTATTATTAAGTGTCATCAAGTTGGTTCCAATTCATAGAGATACAGTATAGGGTTTCTGAGGAGCAACTGGATGGTTTGAACCACCAACTTTGTGATTTAGCAGTCCAATGATAATCCTATAGTACCACACCAAATAAATGTTTTTATAGTTTTGAATGGTTATATTTAAACAGTTATATAGAGGTGGATATACATATAATGTATGTATTATATATACATAGTTTTTTATTAAGTGCCGTGGTGTCAGTTCCAACTCATAGCAATCCTCCGTAGGGTTTCCGAGGAGCAGCTTAACCATGAGTTTGATCCATGAACCCTGTGGCTTAAATCGACTTTGGGGTCCAGTGCTCATACTACAGCGCTACACCAGGAATCCATATATATATATTTCTTCTCTTGACAGATACACATATGTACTCCTGATATAGCACTGAAGGATTAGCACTGGACTGTGCACCACAAGGGTGGAAGTTCAAACCCACCATCTACTCCTTGGAAACTCTATACAGGGTCTCTGTGAGTTGGAACTGACTTGACAACTCTTAACAACAAAAACGTTCTATTGTTGGAGTCCTGGTGTTGGCACTGGATAAGCACTGGGTGCAGGTTGGTTTGAACCACAAGGTTGGCAGTTCAAACTCACCAGCTGTTTCTTGGAAACCCTATACAGGATTGCTATGAGTTGGAACTGATTTGACAGCACTGTGTGGCGCTGTGGGTTAATGTGCCAGAGTGCAAAACTGTTTAAACTGCAAGGTTGGTGGTTCAAGCTCACCAGCTGCTCCTTGGAAACCCTATAACCGGTTGCTATGGGTCAGAATTGACTCAGCGGCACTTAAAAACAGCAACAACAACAGTTGTATTGTTGGACTCCTGGTGTGGCGCTATAGAATCAGCGTTGGATGGCAAATCATAAGGTTCGCACTTAACAACACAACAATAATGGTATTGTAGAACTGGAGCACATCCAGGGGTCTCAAGGTTCAATTGTATAGGAGTTTACCTACCTTCTTTAAGGGTCAATACCCAGCGCTGACGGCTCTCACAGTCTGGAGCAAACACATACAGGAGGTAGTTATCATGTACGACCTGGAGACAGTACACAGAATAAGGTAAGCAATATACCCTGAGACAAGTGATTGACCACATGCCTGTCAGGTTAACTGGGTTGAGGGCTGGGTCACAGGCATTTGTCATCACATAGGCAAACATCTGGGGGATTATGCAGGTGTGTGGGGCCTGTGCAGATACAGGGAGAGCCTCTGCAGTACTGGCAACTTCTCCTAGATTTATAATCGCTACATTAAACTGCATGCATGACTTCTTAGGAGGAAGTTCTTCTCCTGACTGCACACCACATTTATTTCTCATGTTTATTTCTTTTCAGTGATTAAAAAATAATCTTTTTGACTAGTAAGAAATTAAGATAGTAGATGACAAGTACACAAGTTAAAAAATGTAATTTATTTTTAAACCATTTAAGGCACACAAAAAGTTTTAAAAATAGTACAGACATATAGTTCCTGTGTACTCTTTACTGAGCTTTCCCCAGCGATAATATCTTATATAACCCTAGCACAGCTTCAAAACCAGGAAATTCACCTGCATACAACAACACTGTTAGCTAAACTAAAGACCATCCCTGTATTTCACCAGTTGTTTTCATGTTCTTATTTGTAACTGGGTTTTAAAGACTGGAAAATATATACCATTCTTTTAACTTTCAGTCCTAAAACCGCTAACTCACTGGGGGGTGGGGGGTATGGGATGGATGGTGTCACTTTTCTAGTAGGAAAAAGCTCTGGGATGTGCTAGGAGATACTCACGTCTGCTAACCCATAAATGTCAACAGTGGCAACACAATTTAGGCAATACTGTGACCTAAAACCTGTAAAGAGACCCTTCACCAGCTCTGCCCAACAGAACATTCTGCAGTGATGGCTATGTTCTATATCCGTTCTATATCCACATGAGGCTATAAACCAAAAAGCCAAAACCACTGCCACCGACTCTGTTCTCATTGCGATCCTTTTGTTGCTGTAAGTGCCATTGAGTCGGTTCCAACTCATAGCTAATCTTGTGATTCGCATTCTAGTGGATTAGCATTCTAGTGCATATCCTATAAAGTCACACCAGGACAGACCCTCTGCTGTTGTTACGTGCTGTTGAGTCGGTTCTGACTAGAGCGACTCTGTGTAGTCAGGGTTTTTGAGGGGCTGCTGGTAGGTTTAAACTATCGACCTCAAGGCTAGCAGTCCAGTGGTTCTCCTACAGTGCTTAACCTTTTGGTTAACAACCAAGTGCTTAACCGCCGTACCACCTGTGCTCACACATGGAAGCAGACCATACAAAGTGTGACTAGTCTCACTGAGGAACTTAATTTTTAAGCGTATTTTGTTTTAATTAATTTACATTTAGATTTAAATAGCTGCATGTAACTTGGGATAACTTCAGATAATGCAGTTCCAGGGGGTTCCTAGATTGTAAAATCTGAGTCTTTTTACATCAGAACCTCAAGCAATTTATAACCAAAGATTTCAACCTGTTGCCCTGAATCATGGAGTAAATGTTACTAGAATAATATTAGACTTGGGGCCCTCAATGACAGCTTTTCCCCTCCCCCAAGTGCAGAGTAATTAAGATTTTCCTAAGGTAGGAAAGACACGAGGGAAATGAGGATGAGAAATGACATTTTCAAGAATTTGAACTTAATTTTTGTTGAATGAATGGATTTGTTATTTATTAAAACACAGAAGCCCTCTCAAGAACTTAGTTTCAGTTTTAAGCCTGAACCAGAGTCACCCCTTGCCCACCATCTCTTACAGTGACTGAGGGTTCTAATCATGGTTCAGGGAATGGGGAACCATCCCTCTTAGGCCTGATGGGCTTACCTGAAATGGGTATTTATAGTGGCATGGGATGATAATGTCACTTTTCACGATGTCGACACATTTGATTCGGGAGAGTTCAATGGAGCCCTTCAATGTGCGCTTTTTCTGTGGGGAGAAAAGCATATTCAATTTATTCAAGAAAGAAGACAGAATACATCCATCCAGATTGCTTCTAGAAATCCATGTTTGGATATGATCCACTAGCTTTGTAAACCAAGTCCTCCAAATTTCCAGAAGCTGTCTGCTGGTCCTCAATACCTGAGAAACACAATGTCAGCAGACGCCTGGGAGACATGACCTTTGAATTGTCTTCTCAATGGAGTGGCTGACTCCCACTCAATGAAGTAAGACATTGTCCTTGTGACAAATGACAGCACCGAATTACATGTGTGCTGATTTTTTCTGCTTTTACTTTTAGCAAGCATAGTAATTGAGTTCAGATCTGAGCTTGGTGGTGAAATATACCCTTACTAGAAACTTCTTTTTCTACATCTTGCTTTTCCATAACCCTTAGCTGTCCAGAGTCCTGCAGTGACCTTTACAAACATTCCTGATGCTGCTGTGTAAGTATTTGTTCTCTGTCCCTTCCCCATCAAATCTTACCCATGTGTCATTTCCTTTGGACTCTTGCTAGAGGCATTTCCCTGATATCTAATAACATGATGGTTTTCATGAATTGTAATGATGCTGCATGTTACTTATTTATATGGGTCCTCGTACTTGGAGAGTGGAGCCCAGGGGATGTGATGTCTTGCCCAGTGAGACAGATTCTACTGGTGTGCTATCACGCTCCAAGGAAAGTTACTTAGAAGCACAGTACCCTGTTATAAATGAGCATTGCTGTCTTTGAGAGCATAGTACGTTTTTACCAGTGCCTAGAATCAGGCTACCATTAAGAAGAGAATTAAATTCTTTTCAATTTAATTCAATTCAATATAAAACTGTTGCAAGGTATTTCTTCACAACATAGTCTATGTAAGAAAGTAGTAAATAGTGATGAAAATGGTACAAGGCTGGAAATATTGTGTTATTGTATGTCGTGGAGTCAGTTCCGACTCATAGCGACCCTGTACAGGTTTTCTGAGGCTGTAAATCTTTACGGGAGCAGAAAGTCTCATCTTTCTCCTGTGGAACAGCTGGTCGTTTCGAACTGCTGACCTTGCGGTTCACAGTCCAACTGGTAACCACTACGGTACCAGAGCTCCTTACAAGGCTGGAAATAGCAGGCTTCAAAATTGCGCTCTGTCTCTTCCTAGCTCTGTGACCTTGGGCAATGCATCTACTTCTCTTGAACCTTGGTTTCCACATTTGGTAGTAATACTTATCTTTTAAGAGCCGATTGGAGAATAAAATGGGATTGTGTAAACAAATTACCTTACTCACAATAGCCAAAAACAGTCAGTGCCATCAAGTCAAATCTGACTCATAGTACCCTAAACTAGGGTTTTTGAGGCTGTCAATCTTTACGGAAACAGTTTCATTTTTAGTGGCTCATGGGTTTGAACTGCTGACCTTGAGGTTAGCAACCCAACACCTAACTCACAGCACTCTTGGGCTCCTTTGACTCATAGTAGATGTTCTCAGTAAAGGGTGCTCACCCAATTAAAGAGGTCATCAAACAAAACCACTGCTGTCGAGTTGATTCCTACTCATGATAACCTTGTAAGACAGGATAAAACTTCTGCCTAGGGCTACCAAGGCCATTCATCTTTCTGAAATCAGACTATCACATATTTTTTTTCCCATAGAGTGGTTGGTGGGTTTGAACCACCAACCTCTGGTTAGCAGAAGAGTTCTTTAACCACTATGCCACCAGGGATCCTTTAAAGAGGTTAAAGAAGTCCTAACTATTGCAAGAGTGAGTCGTGATGTAGGAGTGCACTCAATTGGCGTTCAGGGAATCACCACACCATCAGATTGTCCAAAAATGAACTCAGTCTTTATTTCATATGTTTGGACCCCATGCAGGATACAGGCTTTGGCTTTCATGACTGAGACACAGAACTGAGAGGAAAAGTCAGCACATGCAAACCCCACAACAAGCCACTGCCATCAAGTTGCTTCTGATTCACAGAGATCCTATAGATAGAGTACAATCACTCCCTAGCATTTCTGGGACTGTAAATCTTTACAGGTGCAAACAGCCTCATCTTATTCCACAGAGCTGCTGTTGGATTCGAACTGCTGACCTTGTAGTTAGCAGCCCAACTTGTAATCTAATAGAATATCAGGGCTCCTTAACCTGTGCAGAGTACTCTCTATTTAATACAGGGAAGCTTTGGCCTAATTCTTTTCCAGTTTTCTTTTTCTAAAAAAAAATACTTTACACATTTTTGAAAATACAAAATCTATCCATGGCCATTATAAGAAATCAACCAATATGAATGTATGTGAAGTATTTATACTGTTTATCCCACCCTCTCCACTCCCCTCAGATAAACAAGGTTAACCATTCAGAATGTATTCATCTCTTCTCCACATAGTTAATAGACTATATATAAACAAGCATGAGTATCTGCTCTGCATACTGGCTTTTGTAATGTGATAATATATCAAGGAGGCTGTCTTCCCTTTAAACCTCTGAGAGGACATGTGCCCTTTGTACACATACTGTCTTCTCATTTTGAGTCTTCCACAGTTAGAAATACAAGCCCTGGTCCTGCCCATAATCATAGTTCTTTGGAATGGCTAATTTGTTTTTTTCAAAAAGGAGCGCAAGGACCTGTGTTTGCAACAACAGTTTGTAGCTACGGGGAAAAGGGGAGCCTGAGCTTTGATGTTACCTTGTTATTTGACCTCTGTTGGGTTACTTCCTTAGCAGTGTGTAGAGTGAAATGAAACAAAAGATTCACTGCAGTAATATGACAACTTATTTGTCGACATTTTATTGTTGAAACCCACTACTCCTGAACTCCCTGACAGTAGAGACTAGGGCATGTGCCACTATGTCCCTGTGCCAAGCACAATGGCTGACCCAGGGAGGGTGGGAGGTGTGTTCAATTAGGATGTGATGCATTAAGATGACAAATCAGTAAACAGTTAAAATAATCTTAATCAGATTTAGAGCATTTATCCATCCGGGAACTACAAAAGGCTTTAAAAAGTTCCTGAAAAAATTATATTATCTTTTAATTCCATTTTTCAAGGAATTTTTTGAAGTCCCCTTGTATTTATTGAGGGCCAGTATTATCCTGAGAGCAAGAAGCCCTAGTGGTACAATGAAGTAAGCTCTGGGCTGCTAACTGAGAAGTCAACAGTCCAAATGTACCAGTGACTCCTTCCAGGGAGACATGAGGCAGTCTGCTTCTGTTATGATTTTCAGACTCAGAAACCCCATGGGGCAGTTCTACTTTGCCTTATGGGGTCTCTATGGGTCGGAGTCAACTTGCTGGTGGAGAGTGGGTTTTCAGCATATAGGAAATAGAGTGATGAAGATGACAGACACAGTTGGGTTGAAACTTACAACCTAACTGAGAAGGCAGGCAATAAACAAGTGTTAGAAAAAGGCATCTCCAAAGAAAGGCTTAGCAGACTGCTTCCAAAAGATTCCAGCCTTGAAAACCCTATGAGGAAACTTATACTTGCACACATGAGGTCAATTTCAGTCGGAATCAGCTCAACAGTAACTGGTTTGGTTTGGTTGGTTTATAAAGAGAAAAAGAATAGGCTCGTTGTGATCAACTTGTGGACCAGGCAAGCCTCTGGGGATAAAGTACATTTGAGAAGAGATCAGAAAGTTGAAAGGAGTCTGATCTAAAAGTTTGGGGGAAGTGAGCATCCTTGCAGAAGGAATAGCAAGAACAAAAGCCCAGAGGTGGAAAAGTGCTGGCTGCATTCAAAGAACAATAAAGGAGATCAGAAGAGCTAAAGCCCAATGGTGCATGGTCAAAGGAGCACCAACAGAGGGCCAGGCCAACCCAGATGAAAGGCTTGGGTTTAATGTTGAGAGCAATGGGACTCCATTGGAGAGAAAGTCATCTTTAACTGGCAACTTCTCTCCATTCATCCTGAGTATTTTTAGGTTCTTTTTCTGCCTCTTCATCATTGTGACTTGAATTTGGGTACCTTAACTCTTCTGACATAAAACAAAACATGAAACCTACTATCCTATAAAATGTTTGAGTTTTGGCATTTCTTTTACAAGTGTACTTTAGTTTGAAAATGTGTTCATACTAAATTTTGTTTACTTCTCATGACTGTCTTATGCACCTTTGTAGGAAGGATACCTGATCAGACCTTCATACAATAATGAATGCTCATGGAAATGAGAAAATAACTGCATAATTAATTTCCATTTTACAGATAAGAAAAATGAGGTTGAAGAGGTCAAATGTCTCACCTAAGGCAGCACAGTTGATACAACTAGATGACATTAGCCTAGTTGTCCTACTTGTCAGAGCACTTTTTGTAATTTAAAAAACCTTTTTATTGTGAATTCAGTGAAGGTTTACAGAGAAGATCTGTTTTACATTCAACAACTCATATACCTTGCTTTATTACAATGATTGCAATTCCCCTCCATGTACCATCAGTTAACAGTATTTATCTCTATTCACTTTAGTATTGTATTCCTCCCTGTGTCGCCACTACTTTCATCTTTCCTCTGCTAAACCCCCCTGCTTGTATATTGCCTGCCTTGTCACCCATATTAACTTACGTGTGTCTACCCACCTGAGTGCTTTTCAAAACATGACATTCCCTTTTTAATTAGACAAACTTTTTACAAGTTGTTATTAATCTGTGAATCAAAGACATAGTTCAAATCCTGCCACTGTTACTAACTTGATGTTGGGTAAATCACATAAATATGAAGAATGTGGGATCAGGATTGGAGGAAGACTCATTAACAACCTGTGATACGCAGATGATACAACCTTGCCTGCTGAAAGCAAAGAGGACTTAAAATACTTACTAATGAAGATCAAAGATTACTCTCTTCAGTACGGCTTTCACTTCAATGTAAAGAAAACAAAATTCTTCACAACTGGACCAATAAATAACACCATGGTAAATGGAGAAGAGATTGAAGTTGTCAAAGACTTCATTTTGCTCAGATCAACCATCAACACTCACGGAAGCAGAAGTCAAGAAATCAAATGACATAT